CTTAGACTACTCCTCTGCACATCCAAAAGCAGTATATGCTAGCATAGCCTCAGCGATGTTTAGGAGAGTGAGAGCACTGTGTACAGAGGAGGTCGACCGAAGAGCAGCACAGCTCGAGGTAAAAAAGCGACTTCAAGATGGCGGATACCCAGTGGGTTTAATTAAGCGACAACTAAGACGGGTATTGGTGCCAACACCAAGGCCCAACAAGGAGTGGATCGGAACAGCGGTCATTCCATACAAAACAGGGACATCTGAAGTCATTAGAAGGGTACTGAATACGGCTAACATTAGAGTAGCTTTCCAGAAGGGGAAAACTTTACGCTCGGTGTTGGTGCATTTGAAGGATCGCCTTCCGGTTGATAGGACTAGGAACTGTGTATACAAAATAAAATGTAACGACTGTACGAAGGTTTATATAGGTCAGACAGCCAGGGAATTGCACACCAGAATCGGTGAGCATAAGCGTTCCATTAACAAACCACCGAGAAACGCAGAGGAATACCAAGCGTTAGTCAAAGATTCAGCAATGGCAGGGCATGCTCTAGACACTGGGCATAAGATAGATTTAGAAAATGTGGACATCCTGAGACGGGGTTTAAGATTCACACCACAGCGACTGGTGGCCGAGGCGGTGGAAATCGCCAAGCATCCCAGTGTGAATAGAATAGAGGGGGTAGAACTTGCAAACGTGTGGAGAGCGGTCTTAGATCAGCCGAGATGACACGAGGCGGTGTGCAGTTATCAGCGAAATCGCCTGGGTCTAAAAGTACAAAATCCAAGTAGCCTTAGATCCAATTAACCAGCCCACCCCCATCCCCAAACTAATTGTCCCAGCACCCTTGGACGAACACAGGTGAACGAAATCTGTGAACGACCCCAAGAGGAATTTTCCATTAAGGTGTCCTAGACTGAAGAAGCAGGGACGAAAAAATCCGGGTTCATCATAAAGACGAACCCCCCCCCCTAACCGATCTATCGTAAAGCTTAGTCATCGCACTAATCAACAAACAGGGACATCAGACTGAACACCCAGCACTGATCACGTCACTAGTCATAAGGAATCTCACGGATTGGTTCCCTGACTGCCTTAAAACCCAATCAACCTACTTACTTACTCACTTGGCCTGACGAAGCTTTTGTGTCAAAAGCGAAACGTTGCCCAGCAATAAATCCACCGATTGTTTACCAAACCCCTCTGAAACGATGACTTCCCAATCGGTCCCAAACATTTTCCAATTGATTGAAAACATCTACGGACCATGTGTTCGGAAGCTGTCAAGTGAATATGTTCGATTGGCAAGATTGGAGGCAAACTGGGAGAACCATCGCATTTTCAACATTAGATGCATGAAGCACAACATAATTCCCAAATCTCTGGTTGTTAAGCCACCAGATGCGTCCCCCGCTTCTGCTCGAATTGCTTCTTCAGCGGCCAAGTCATTCCTCAAACAGAGGATCCATTTAACCACCCAACGTTTAACTGATATCCGCCACCGCGCATGTCGTCTCAACCATGATCTTCAGTCCGCACTCTCGCCTGCTGAATTCGAATTACTAGATACCAAAGCGAAGGAAGTGAAATCAGCTCAAGGTAAACAATGCAAGGACAGACAAATACGGAAGTTCGAGAAATTGCTTTCTACCACTCGCGGTTCTAGTAACACAGCAGAGAAGAGTAAGTCATCCACTAGCTATTGTAGCGTAGTCAATTTATCAGATAGACCCTTAAGTGAAGAGGAACGTTGTCTGTTAGAGAAAGGATTGAATTTTGCAGTAAGTAAAGGCGTTATAAGGGCAGAAGAGATCATCCCTAGTGTTGAGTCTGTATTCCAGAAGCTTCCTTCAATGGAAGCGGAAAAATTACGTGTACAGTTGGTCACAGTCCTGAAGTCCCAGCAACCAGGGGTTCCAAACATTGCACCAGCTGAGCGAAGGGCCTTAAACACGTTAAAAAATGTAGACAGCATAGTAATTACAAAGGCAGATAAAGGTAAGGCCACGGTCGTCATGAATAAGAGTGACTATCTTCATAAAGTTAGACAACACATAGCTGATGGTCCTTACCGACAAATTAGTAACGGAAAGATCACGTCAATTATGAGTAAGAGTAAAGTTGAAGTTGGGAGGTATCTAAAATCTGTGATAAACCATCTGGGGCAAGGCAAGTGGTATCGATTGTACCCAAAAAGTGCAATCCAACCACGACTGTACGGGTTACCGAAGATTCACAAGGAAGGTGTCCCCATAAGACCAATAGTGGATGGCATAGGTTCACCACCACATGAGCTGGCCAGATATCTAGCAGGTATCCTTAAACCACTTGCCGGCAAGTCACCGACACACATCCAAGATTCGTATGACTTTGCCAAAAAAGTAGCTGGGTTTCAGATAGAGCCAGACGAAGTCCTGGCTAGTTTTGACGTCAATTCGATGTATACCAACGTCCCTAAAGCGGACGCTGTGGAAGTAGCGAGAAGACTTTTACTGGCAGACACAACGCTGCAAGAACGAACGCAACTCTCCGTAGACGAGATAGTTGAAGGCATAAAGGTATGCCTAAACCTCAGTCAATTTGTTTTTGACTCAATTATATACTCTCAAGAACAAGGTTTAGCGATGGGATCACCAATATCCCCGATTTTGGCCAACATGTACATGGAAGACTTCGAACAGAAAGCTTCAAACGGATTCGAGTGCCCACCAAGGGTGTTCTGGCATTACGTAGATGCCACGTTCGTTGTAATAAAGCGGGATAAGTTGAACGATTTCTTTCAACATCTGAACACATTGGACCCTCACATTAAGTTTAGCATGGAGCTAGAGTCCATATCGGGTATACCAGCTTTCCTTGACTGCATGACACACAAGAGTGGTGGGAAATTAAAAACCACTGTATACCGGAAATCAACAGATAGTGGTGCGGTCTTAGACTACCCCTCTGCGCATCCAAAAGCAGTATATGCTAGCATAGCCTCAGCGATGTTTAGGAGAGTAAGAGCACTGTGTACAGAGGAGGTTGACCGAAGAGCAGCACAACTTCAGGTAAAAAAGCGATTTCAAGATAGCGGATACCCAGTGGGTTTAGTTAAGGGGCAACTAAGACGGGTATTGGTGCCAACACCCAGGCTCAACAAGGAATGGATCGGAAAGCGGTCATTCCATACAAAACAGGGACATCCGAAGACATTAGAACGGCACTGAATACGGCTAACATTAGAGTAGCTTTCCAGAAGAGGAAAACTTTACGCTCGATGTTGGTGCATTTGAAGGATCGCCTTTCGGTTGATGGGATAAGGCATTGTGTATACGAAATAAAATGTAACGACTGTACGAAGGTTTATACAGGTCAGACAGCCAGGGAATCGCACACCAGAATCGGTGAGAATTAGCGTTCCATTAACAGACCACCAAGATACGCAGAGGAATATCAGGCGTTAGTCAAAGATTCAGCAGTGCCAGGGCATGTTCTGGACACTGGGCATAGGATGGATTTAGAAAACGTGGACATCCTGAGACGGGGTTTAAAATTCACACCACAGCGACTGTGGCCGAGGCGATGGAAATCGCCAAGCATCCCAGCGTGAATAGAATAGAGGGGGTAGAACTTGCAAACGTGTGGAGAGCGGTCTTAGATCAGGCGAGATGACAAGAGGCGGTGTGCAGTTATCAGCGAAATCGCCTGGGCCTAAAAGTACAAAAAAGCCAAGTAGCGTAAGATCCAATTAACCACCCCACCCCCAGCCCCAAACAAGTTGTCCCAGCACCCTTTGACGAACACAGGTGAACGAAATCTGTGAACGACCCCAAGAGGAATTTTCCATTAAGGTGTCCTAGACTGAAGAAGCAGGGACGAAAAAATCCGGGTTCATCATAAAGACGAACCCCCCCTAACCGATCTATCGTAAAGCTTAGTCATCGCACTAATCAACAAACAGGGACATCAGACTGAACACCCAGCACTGATCACGTCACTAGTCATAAGGAATCTCACGGATTGGTTCCCTGACTGCCTTAAAACCCAATCAACCTACTTACTTACTCACTTGGCCTGACGAAGCTTTTGTGTCAAAAGCGAAACGTTGCCCAGCAATAAATCCACCGATTGTTTACCAAACCCCTGTGAAACGATGACTTCCCAATCGGTCCCAAACATTTTCCAATTGATTGAGATCGTTGTTTGTTCTATGCATAGGGTTTAAAGGTTCTCCCTTCAAATTTGCTTACTAATGCCCAAGGAGGATGTCAAACGGAGGGGAATAGACTACCTGTTTACAATGTCATGTGTTTCGCTCTTTGCTGGACAGGTATTTCAGGCCACCGCTATTTGGGGAGCGTTTTTAGCCTAGATCACCAATTAAAAAGCTAACTCTCCGTTGGTGCCCTAGCATCTCCTCTCTCCGACAGCCTTTTCTATCCAGTGGTTTATGGAGGTTATTTTCTTCCGAATTATGACAACTGTAAGACATCTTACACCAGTAGTTGCAGACAGGTACTTGCTCAATTCGCATTCGTGTGTGCTTGTCTGGATGCTCAAGCAATATGCCATCTATCGCATTACTCATGCCAGTAATGAGAATAGGTGGACCTCCGCGCTGTTTACTGCTTTTCAATCTTGTTTACAGATCCTGCTTTGTCAATCATGACCACATAGACGGAGTTCCAAGTCGGTCATTTCTTTTTTCTTGTAGAATCAGCCGGAGAGCTCGGTCGCATCTCAGCTGCCACGTAACATATTTGTTCCCACAAGTGGCATCACCATGGTGGCGTTAGCATGATACCTGGGTTGTTACAGCCATGTACGATGCTGGATGGATGGTTTTGAGGGCTTCACAATTCATAACCTTTGTGGAACCAAAGTTGTTCACAAGGTAAAAAAAAGTCACCTTCCGAATCTACCGCCATGCGGCTTCCATTGTCATTGATAGTAGGAGTACTAACAAGTGGTTACTTGTGGGCTTTCACTAATACGATTCAGTCTTCTTACATAGACTAAACGTATGCGATTTCCTGATTCTGAATGTGTAAATGACCTTGAGGCACCTCGTGGGCAAATCGACCTTCTACCTCGCACAGATTGTGAAAAATTATTGTTAGGTGATTATATGTCTTTTTCTCAGACACACGTCCTATAAAAGCTTCCGCTTGGCACTATCAGCCTGCATATTACCGAGTTTGCCGTCTGCTCAGGCAACAGAACGCAATTCCTAATCCATTATATGCTTTTGCACTGCCCGTTCACCGAGGCAGATCTAGGATTTTAGCGCCTTTCACATGATGAATGTGACAACTCCTGGCGTTGTGGTAAACGTCGTGATATGATGGCTTTGTAAACTTGTCGGTTGTTAGTACAAGAGTTCAGGTTGGCATCTATGCCTACTGGAGGCATCCCAAACACGATGGATAGTTTACTAGGCTTTCGACGAGATTCCGTAATGTTTCTCACTCTGTCTGAAAAGTGAGCATCGACAACTCTTGGGGAACTACTTAAATCACGATCCTGAAAACAGTTCGGCTTTATTCACAAGGGTTTGGATTGACAAGATCTGATTGGTTAAATATAGTTTTGGTGAAATGTGATCAGATTGGCTGCTGCACAATTAGTTTCGATTTCCTAGCCAAGCGCCTTTTTGGTTTGGCGTTTGAGTTTATTATTAGCCTTAAGAATAGCTGTGTAATGTGGGTTGAACGATGCGATAACAATCATTAATTGGTTGGACGAGAGACGTATGTGTACAGAAGTTCCCTGTAAATTATAGACGTTTAGCGTGTGCGTGCCTATGGAATTACTTACGGCATGGGGTTGGGCAGGGTGTAGCTAAAATAGGACGGGTTTCACAGTGAGCAGAGATATACATTGATTCAACAAGGTGCTTCTTGCTATCAAATAAGGACGGGCATTTGGTTACGCATACTGAGTCGTAAAGGTTTGAAAATCGTGGGAGGTATGCTTTGAATAGCATCGATTGCTATTCATTACATTTTCAGTCGGTCTGTTCGCGGTTACTGAAAAAATTTCAAGCTTTTACTGAATGTAGCCTGCGGCAAATCACTCACCATCTTATGCCATACAGTGTCTTTAAAAAGGCTGCAAGTTCCGAAATTTTCGGGTTGGCTTCTTGAGATGACAACGAAAGCCGAATGATGTCGATTTTGATTCTATTGGTAGGTTTCAATCACAGAAATGTGTAAATTAGGTTATTCACTATTCCTCATAACCATTCATTCTGGGATGTGAGCTCACTTTTCGTCAGTTTTCTTTTCGGGCTGTCTATTCGATGTTGCATTTTTATTTCCATTTGAAACGTGAGAAAACCCATAGGGGCTCCAAGTGTGCTCAATATCTCTAGCTGCCTTGCCATATCATTCTGTCCAACATCAAGTGTCGCTGTGATAGATCTGCCAAACATGATCTCGGTTTACAGCCTTTTTGAGGAAACGGACATGAATAATGCTTGCAGTTTGACGGACTAACGGCCTTATTGATCATCAATGTTAGTCAGGGACTTCACACAAATTGCATGATATCTACCTGATCGGATTATTCCAACTAATTTTCAGTACCCTTCCTGAAGCATTTTAGTGGTTTCTGAGAGAACTTCGACTTTTACAGCAAAGGGAAAAACTGATTTCGTTAATGTATTACTTCATACATAGATGGCAATGGGTCACGACGGGCGCCGGTTAGGCACCGAGTTGAAGAATGAAAACGAAAGTCTGCAACAAATTCTGTGGAATTCGCAGGGCGTCTTGTTATTTTGAGTTGACAGTAGCCATTTGCCCTGCAGAGACGTATAAACTGGCAATGTGTCTAAAGATAATTACTACTCTTCATCAGTTCGGGTTTTACATTTCGGAATTTATCCAACTTAAGCTCGTAATTTGCATGGCAGTCGTGGTAAAACAGATATATTTACATCAACCGTGATTTCCTTCAGTTTTATTCACCTGTTCATATGTTGCAAAAGAAGTTGACGTTGTACTGTAATATTGAAAATACTAGATGAAATTTTTAGGGTGAACTTACGGCAAGGTGTTGTACACGCCGCAGCTGTTAAAACAGTTTCAACATCGGTTGAGTACGTTAGAGCAGCTATGGGCTTACGAAAACAGCTTGTGCTCGGGGGAATTCATGAAATAATTTCTTAGGGAAGAGCATACGCGCGTGCAGTGCATTCAAACAAATAAATGATGCTTTCTGGTGGAAAAACTCTCGTGGCAATTAAACCCTCAGAAAAGCTTATTATCTAGTGATGCACCAAAGCTTATTTGGGAGATAGACCACCGCAAGTAGTTACTATAAAACTGCTTCGTGACTCGGCAGATGTACTTAAGAAGAAGATTTGGAGAAACTTTTGGCTCTTTGCGTTTGTCAAGAAAGATTCACTAAAATGCGTATTGATCTGCGTTCAAGAACAAATAAACTGAGCAAAATTTTAGGATGGATCAGTGCAACAACTACCGCCTCAAGAGTTTGAGTCTACCTATAATATGAGATGCATTTTTCCCCAGAAGAAGCGGGTAGTCGATCAAAGAAACTAAGTGTCACACCAGTGCTTTCAAATGTAGCAGACAGCTAACACCGGACGCCGGATATGAATGCAGGAGAAACTAGTCATAGTAGTATGGGTACCGGTGTCTGAGTATTTAAAGCACTTGTACTTTTGTTGCATCAACACCGGATGGATGCTTTTTAGATCGATGATCGCCTCATAGGAGTCCGGTCCACTTTGTAATCCACGCCAGATAGATACAGTGCCACTAAGATATATACAGTTACCGTCAACGCCAGTATTGTCAGAATGATCAGAACTTACCAGTAGTTGTCTCGGTCGCTGAGATTGGCGATAGAAGTAAATTTCATCTGATCAAAGTTAGCACACCGATAACTGTGGAAATGAAACTACCATAGAATACCACTAGAAGTTTTGTTGGAAAGGCAGTGAAATCATGCACAGACGCTTGGGCAGTTGTTCCTGGAGGTCGTGCTGGGTGTGGAACCATCCCTCCAGTGACTTGAACAGAAGCAATCATAATGTGAATAGCTGCGAAGAAGCGTCAAGTGTGGAGGAGATGGAAGCTGTAGTGAGCTGGCAATGAACGGCATTTATGCTAGATTTGGAAAGGGATGGTGTTTCGGGTTACCCTATGCAGGAGGTATAATGACGATATTGTCTTTGGTTCCAGCCCAGCGTTCAAATGAGTCAACATGTATGATCGCTGATAAATCGATCACCGTCAGTCCAGTGCATTGCAGCTGACCGATACTAACCCAGAAATCGGACGTGCAACATCTCCGCTTATAACTTCTGTCCCCTGAAAAGTTCACTGAGGACCATGTCTCAGGCAGTGTTGATGAAATATAAAAGCTAAATGAAAGACTGACCAAACGCCGCGTGAAATCAGAGTTGTTTAAATAATTTTGAAAAACAATGGAGTTGATAATCCTGATTAGAAGCTAACGGGATGAGGTAGATTTGACACACACTGGGTGGGTGCTTCGACTGCGAAGTTAAGTAGCTTTCGATTACTTGGGGGAACTGTACGGGATACTTAATTTACTGAAGCATGCCAATAGAAGGAGGGAACCGTTTGAGGGGTAACCATATGATACCAGCACTGGGTGCTCATAGGAAGTTCATTGTCCGGTGTGCTTCAATCTTAGGATCTCTCATATCTGTCTTTAACAATGACCATCTGTGAAGGCTCTGATTATCTCTCAGGCCAAAGGCGGTAACCGCGTTGTTGTGAATTTCGGATTGCACCGTGGTTGGGTTGGTTTCGATTGGAGAGATTTGGGAGATGTGAAATGGCATCTAATAGCCGTATACGTTTTCCCCTAACTGGTTGGCACCTGATTACTTTGTTGGGTGATACGCGCGTGGCTTAATTTTGAAAAGTGGAGTCGTCAGAGAATGCACGTGAAAAAAGTGGGATGGGGTTTGCAGAAGTGAATAAAGCGGACAAATCGGGGTATTTGAGAATCGGGAAAAACCTCCGTCCTGAGGTGTGGGGAGGGAGAAGACATCTTAGGGATTCAACGGAAAAAGGGATAGAGAGCTGGAACTTTGTTAAAAACACTTCCTCAATGGTATTGAGATATGTTGTAGTCCGAGCAAGTTTGTCCTGTTAAAGCAGAGTTGCCCGAAACGCGGGAACTGAAATACTTGTTTTTTAACTGTTTTTTATTGCTGAGTTTGATCTACTGACTTAAAGGAGGATCGAAGAAGACTCAGAGCAACACCTATAAACGTGGTAAAATAGTGAGTCAAGGAGACACCTGAAAAACCGATAATGCATGTTGACTAATGTCGACTAATGGCAGCGTCAAAGTAGATGAAATCATACGGACGTACACAACTGCAAATATTAGCCTAATCGTTCTAACTAATCACCATGCTAGTCTCCGCAAAAGACACTGCTGATAAAAGTAAACTGTGAACACATAGGTGAGCGTTGAAAAAATCAGAAACCGAAAGTACTCATAAAGTCTTTGGGAAAACCATAATATTCAAACAAAAATGACAATGATTGGTTGCTCCAAGTCATTCTTCCCCGGGGAGAGTCAGCTTCGCTGTTTCGGTGAATATATACCCAAACTTCCTTCACACACTCACTGCAGAAAATAAAAGACTACTATTTTGACCGACAGGACCTCTGGTGCATATACGAACTTACGCTTCTCAGTTGTAGCTCCAGGGGTCGTCGTTGTCGCAGCCCCAGTGGTCGTCGCTGCTGCGGCCGTTGTGGTAGCTACTGCCGCGGCTGTGGTAGTAAGTGCAACGGGTAGCACTGGATCTTGAAAAGAAAACAAATGACCCGGTTACACCAGCGATCGCAGTATAAAAAACTGAATACCAGCTACACTTTATGATTTGTGAATGCGTAACACGTAGAAACACATCGTGCTTTAGCCCCCATAAGTGGAGAATTTTCAGTATTCATTACTAGGAGGGACATAATTTTTCTCTGTCTAGAAAATTAGACGAGATGAGCCAATGTCTTCTCAAGATATTTAACTTTGTTCTGTCCAGCGCTTCAAACACTTCGGCCGTATCTTTTTATTTACTTTTTTCAGGTTAAACAATGTCAAATAATCGGTTTGGCATGCTCATAACTTCGGAAATCCCCTGTTTTTTTTTACCCAAAATGACAATAATTTTTCTCTGTCTAGAAAATTAGACGAGATGAGCCAATGTCTTCTCAAGATATTTAACTTTGTTCTGTCCAGCGCTTCAAACACTTCGGCCGTATCTTTTTATTTACTTTTTTCAGGTTAAACAATGTCAAATAATCGGTTTGGCATGCTCATAACTTCGGAAATCCCCTGTTTTTTTTACCTCAAAATGACAACGGATAATGAATGCTCATGCGCACCTCAATGCAGAACAACAAAAGTATCCCTTCCTGTGTAGAGTTGCATCGGTATTTGGTAGTTACTAGAATGAAAAGGAACTATTTTTTCCGATTCCTGGTGGCATTTTCTTCTCTCCGAACAGCGGTCTTACAAGTGCCCTCTCATATCAAATTGGCGAAAACCAACAGCCAGGGCGTGTCGACGTGTGTCAGAAACCTGATTCTTCCTCTTAGTTCAGACGCCCTTATTTCATCCTACTCGGTAGGATGTCGCGTCCTGGAGTTGCTACACATGAGACAAGCACATGGTGGATGATAACCTAAGGGAAATGGGACACAATATTTCCCTCATACCTGAAACTCCACGATGGTAGACGAAAACGCAAGCGGAATCGTAGAACAATGAATAAGGTTTTTGGCGACCGTATCCAATGGTTGCTCCCACTTGTAGATTTATTAGCACCATCGTGTTACAAATGTATCACCCCAAGTTCATTCGATAACGACGTGCTTCGGTAGTGTCAAAATAACAAAGGAATAGTTTTTAAATGATACAACGCTTTCTTGAGAAGTAACTGGGTTTTCTTGGGAGACGTGCTACTTAACACTGAACTGGTAATTCATAAGTTCATATTTTGACAGATGGGTTGACAAAGCAGTCCGTGCCTAAGAGGCTTTTATTCTCCAAGCCTAATTGCCACACTACACTATTCAGGAAATTGATATTTGCGCTCTATATTTTGTCGTGTTTGGCAGGAACGGTGATCTCAGAGGTTTACCTGTTTTTATTTTAATGAGTTATCTATACAAGGTAATGACAATGTGAAACACTATACTTGTAAAGCCATGGTTACTTTGGAAACGCAGACCTTAATGATGAATACATTTCAATGCTCCAGTTTCGGGCGTATCATTGTACGGCATAGCTGTTTCGCATGGAAGCCAAACTTGAGAGTGTTTTACTTCTAACATGAGAGTTTTTTTGATTATAAATTTTTATTCTACCATAAATTACTACCATATATACCATCTATTTCTAGGTTTGATGGTGTCAGAAAGTCTACTGGGAATCAGTAGTCACAAAGCTATTTTAAAGGTAATATCATTACTACAGTTCGCAATTTCTCCCTCATTATGCTTGTGCCAACAAACTCTAATAACTTCAAATTACTGATAAATAAGAATTTCTCTGGAAGATAGTGATAAAAACCAGTTTTGGTTTTAACGCGAGCCTCAACTGGACCCCGGCTGGAACTCTGGTTTATGCTATTCTCGAACGTATTGTACTGCACAAAACCGAACCACACTTCAGTTGGTACGATATTTGAGACATCACATTATATTTTCCTAATGCAGGTACTACTCACAACCTTACTGAAAACTCTTCGACATCTCACAAACGGTTCCATTATGCTTGGGGCTCCTCAGGTAGTCAAGTCCCTAAACACTTGTCAATCGTTCAACTCAAAAACTAGCACGCCAATCTGAATTTAACTTGATGGCTTCATTTAAAAAGGTGTACCGTGATATCCTGGGTGTCATACCAACTGAAACAGATGGTAGTCTTTGTGCAGCACAGTCAACTGAACAATATCATGAACAAGAGATTACGATGGGATTTAGTGGAGTCTCACATGAAAAGTAAATCTGTGTGCAGACGAGTGTTTTGCTAATTTTGCACAGTTTGAGGTCGATTAGATCTTAAAGTTGACGGAATATAGGAGACTGAGTGACGGGCGAAGTTGTAGGATGTCGGCTAGCTTTCAGCAAGTTGCTGAAAGTCTGAAAGCTGTTTTGTGGAAATTTAGGGTAGCTGTTGTGCAGAGCTTTATTTTATTAATGAGAATTCTTTCTTTTTGTAGTTGACTCTGTTTTCGAACGAGGTATTCCTTTAGAATGTTGGTCCCAGCGTGGAATCACTCTTTGGTCCACCGGTTATTGATATCTTTATTTTTCTCGGTTCTGATCCGATCGGCTACACAAAACTACCGAATATTTTAACTGATGGCAAGTTTGCGACTGCAAACAGTACGAAAGAAATGGTGGTTGAACTTGATATGATCGCGGAGTGGAAGGTTTCGTAATAGAAGTACTTTCGCGTCGTTTTCTCCCTTACAAGATGTGCTGCTCCAACGTGGTGCCGATTATAGGGACATATGGACTGGACAAGCTAATTCTTCACTGTCCATCAAAGTTCATCGTAAATCGGTAGCTTGCCCCATCCGTGGTTTATTATTCATATCCCATTACTTTGTCTGCTGACTTACCCATCTGGCTGTTCTGATGTTTACTTTTTTACGAGTGTAATGAACACTTGTAGATTAGTTTGTCATAAATAATTTGTTTGCCCATCAGCATTCGACCAACATCTGGTTTTTTTTTCAGTTCCACATTTTTGGTGCGCTTTGACACCCAAAGACACCAGGTGAGTGATACACATGCTGCGCACGCTTTAGAATAAAAAGTCTGGGCTCATTCCATCCTTCATTTTGCAGACATCATGTAGCTAACGACGTGAATACGTTTCAAGATAGTGGGCCAGGGACGTACGATCCCTCAACTATTCGTGTTCAAATGCTCGTAATAGTTTTCGGTAGCTGGACACACACTTTTTACTTTTATTGTGCCTGCTGTAAAAGTATTTTTCTTAATTTAACTTACCAATGATAATAGGACCTTGAGTCTGACCAGGAAATACTGGCAAGATCTGGTCGGGAACGATCGGCACGATCAGACCTGATTACACAAGAGTATTAGGGGTGAGTAAATGTGTTAGTTCATAAAATCTTTGCTTGTGGCGCGAAAACGGAATCGAATTCACAATACAATCATGCCAACAGAACCGAGCAATGTTTAATGTGTGTGAATCACAAGAGACTCAGTGGTCCTAAAGTGATCACAAACGACCAACGGTTATGAACAGCAGAGTAACCCACACCTTATTGCAATTCCACTTTAGGTCGAAATCCGTTATACCTGGCCTCTTTACCGGTTATTTGTTCATTCTTCCCTTCTTTCCCTTACTTTGAAAGTGGCCGTAGACTAACTATCTCTATTGAATAGAGCATGTGTATAAAGTAACCACTCATTTAAGCCTCATGTACATCCGACTTCACCAGTGCTTTACTTTCCAGATGGATGTTCATCTTTATACAAGTTTGCCTTCTTTTAGGGCAATTTAAGGGCACAGAGTTCAACCGAGCTCAACCCTCAAAAGTGTTTATTCGGGCTCGGTGAAGACATTACCCTTATCATTAATTAAAATATTCGCAGACACCTCGGATGAACACCAGGACAGACTTGCGAGCACTAAAGTCACAACAATGACAAACTCCCCGAACAAACTTGCCAGCGACCCGTGAAAGGATTCAGCATGCAGGTTTCCGAATGCAGAGCGAACGTTCTGTTCTGTCTACAAGTAAACCTTAGCTACTTCTTCGTATTCTTCCCATCATCAGGCTAAAGGAACAAGTTCTTCCAACTTGCGGAAGTATTTTGACAGCGTCACTCGCATTACTGTGGAGGAATCTTTGTGCACGTCGGCTTTTATGGGGGTTCGCTGTAGTCTTCTGATTGAGTTGTTTTATATATATATATATATATATATATTTGTATCTGCTTATTTTTGAGGGTTATCAACGCATGCTCCTCAGGACAGGTTGGCTGAAGTAAGTCGTTTGGTTTACAATTAAGTTTTGCGACACGTCGGTAGCATCTTATTATCAGATTTGACAACAGACCGCAAACTGAAATCGTATTTTCGACAAAATCAAATAGCGTTTATGGAAAAATTAGACCTACTGAGTGAAGACTAAACTGAGTATGT